TCGTTAAGTATAATTCTCTATCCATATTGCTGTTATTAACATTATAACATTCACAATAGACATTGATTCATCTCTTGAGTTATTTCCAGAACAAATAATTTGTTCATAGTCATACCTTTACATTAATTAGGTACTGTATGTAACTAGAATTAGACCTGTGAGTAAAGCTTTTTTTTTGATAAGTGACGCAAAGCAGCCACCAGTAGTTTCGTCCCTATTTGCAAGAGTCGGTAGTGTAACATTTTTGTTCTCACCTACGGTCGGGACTGGAGGTTAACTCCCCCCCCCCCGCCCACACACTTATAAACTAAACTATCCACGACCATAAAACGAAGTACGTAGTAGTGTGGTTTTAATACGTTCTTCCATTTAATTTCGCGCGATCTCACAGACGCCACAGTTTGTGTGCTGTTATTCATCTCTCAATCTTGTTCATAACTCCGATACAATTTCGTTGATCGTTTAGCCCAAGGATAAAGATTTCTACTCCAAGCCCGAAGGTTCGAAGTTCAAAGTACCGATCAGGAAAGAGGGGGGAGAGGGGGAGTGGACAGGAAACACGGAATTATTGAGATGGCTATGATTAGCCGCATCCAATCCACGAAACTCACAAAGATTTATCGTGTTCATCCCCTGGTTAATTCTTCAAGCAGAACCAGCGTCAAGGGTTGCTCCCGATCGATCATTTTGTCAAACAAAATCTGTCATTACACAAATGATATAATTAATCTCAGCATGATGTATCCTGCACTGAGAGTTTGAACTCAACATCATTATGATACAGTGCACGCATAAACGTGCAGAACAATGTTCATCCATGATATTGTGGAAAGAATTGTGAACTAAAATTAGCTCAACTCAAATATGAATGTTTCAAAAAACAAACAATTACTGACCACTCAAAATTGCTCTCCCACTACGGTTCCACCTCATGGAGTGCGGACAGAAAGTGAGAGAAAAAAAAGAAATTGCAAATATTTTGTTCGCCTTGCCGAAGATAGTATAAATGAATACTCACTAACATGACCACACCATTAGATGGTGAACCTAGTGACGACGAAAATAACACCTATCTGAATGTATCGTCTGTCCGCCCTGTTTACTCTGTCACCTCTCGCATAAACACGCACCTGATCAGAGCTGGTATTCTCAAATAAACTCCACAATGGAAAAGACGTATCGTTATTAACTGAATTTAATTAACTATGTATCTACTCCGTTCGAATTTACCATCGAAATTTCTCAGATTCGAATTGCCCAAAAGGTGAACAATCCCCGGCAGAAGTGATATATTAAACGATCAACTGCCATCCACAACGGTTATTTGTGCTAACGAGACAACTTGGAGCTGTGACTTTGCAAAAAAACTGAACGTGAGTCACTTTTTCTGAATTTCGGAACCGATTACAATCGTTTCAGAATGGATTTGGGATTGGTTTCTCCTATGCGATTTTGTGGTAAACACACATATTGTACTTCCTTTACTTTCTGTGACAAACAACCACCAGCAGGGCCGGTATGGAGAACAATTCTGAAGATACAGATCATCGCTTGTTCTGGGGCGAGGACAAGAGGCCAGACGCATTCAGAGAATAACGCGATCAACATCCACTCAGGCGAATTCCACGCAGAGAATAGATTTTCTGATCTTGGGACATACGAAGTGACATCATCATCATCATCATCAACAGCAGCAACATCATCGTCATTCACGTGAACAGTTTACAATGGGAATTTGACTGAAAAGTGTTTGACTTAAACGATTTGAGACATTTCGCTTGTTTATGAAATCGCAGGCTCCACGTGCCATACTCACGGAAAAGCTGTTTCACTCCCTTTTGAATTGTACGTGTCACATACGCATCCGATTAATTTGGGTTTGATTTCGGATGCGAGAGTTTTTTATTTCCATGAGTTATTCACTTAAACCGGCTTTCAGCAGCCAGCTACCTATCAGCACTATAAATGATATAGGGCTTAACCGTTACTGTCCTGGTACCGGATGATACCAGACAGTGATTGACTCCCTGACGCGCTCAGTAGGGTCCAGCTAAAACTGAACAGGACACGTTGACTTCCTGAAATCGATTTTTATGTGGAACGATTAATCTGTGAACTGCAATCGGGATAGTCCATGTGGTTAGCACCTCAGATTAACAATCACTCGCGCTGTCAATGATTCTCAACAATATCCATGAAGCAGTCTTGAAAGCGTCTTACTTTTGAGGGACACCGTGATTCTGCATATAAAATAAACTATCAAGCAATGTCCGCATGAATCAAAATATTCTGCAAAATATCAAATCGTAACAACTCCTATCATTTGCCAAATAAACGTATACCAATATGTTTCGCAGTGGAAGTATCCAGTTCTGGTTCATTTCCTCTGATAGAGTGCCCACATCAGGTTTGTCTTTTAAGACCGCTCTCTAGAATTGCACTGCTCAGTAAGGAGAAAGAGAGGCGTTTTTTAAAGTTACTTTGGCAAACATTGTTGGCAAAATAAATAAATAAATAAATCCAAATTTACATGGAAGCTAAATTAGAATCTCCCTCGCCCTCTCATGCGAGGCTGAAAAAACTCACACCCCCAGTTAGCTTAGTTTGATCACACTAATTTGTCTTATATTTTGCATGATCAGACTACTAACGCCACATCCAGTCTTTCCTTCCATTTACAACTCATTCACTTTCTCTTTCCTTCTTTCCTTTTTTCTGTGCGGTCTACTTGCACGTATGATGAAAACACGATAAGTTATCACATTTTTGGTATTTCGAATGTCAACAGTTTTACTAATAACCAAAAATATTCACCGAACATCGACAATGCATCTGTGATGGAATTCAGTTTAATTTCACGCAGGTGCATTGAAAAGATTCTTTATTGGTTTAAATATTTTCAGTAATTTGGTAGTGAAAAATAAATGCTTTGGTAGAATTATTCAACGCTACTGACCAACAGCTCTCCAACATTTACTACTTGACCTACCTCACATACTGCTTATAAACCCTGTCAGATTTTGGTGAATGGTAGCAGTATAGAAAACAAAAACAGCCAGACAGTTTAGTAGGTGGTGTGCCACGTTAGGACCCTTATGAGTTAGCGCGCAAAACAAAAGCACCATCAGAAATAATTCAGTGTAGTTTTGAAACGAAGTATGTGCTCACCACGGATTTTGTGTGAGCATATATGTGTGTGACTGTGAATAACTCAATAGTTTCCGGATTCGATCAGTAGTCTTACGACAGTCAGCCCCTCACTCTACACCATTGCATGGCTTGTGTCGCAAATGCACTCTCCAAGATGCAAATTAGGTTTGCATTGCATAATTCACATCGGGAGTTCAAGTATAAGAATGACCAGACAGAGGATTACCAGATACGCATACTTGACGAGCGGCAAGGACCGCGAAACCGGTCTTGTGCTTCTGTGGAATTTTGTCCAGTCATCCATATACTACTCATCATATGGTTTATGTATTTGGGTGCAAATACATTCCTATCACATAAAATCTCTCGTACTTCTCGGTATATGTCATCTTCCGTTTACCCTATAAGGTACGCTCATGAAGACGCTCGACTTGAATGTTTCTATCCTCCTCCTCTTCTTCTTCACATACCGTAAATTATGTTCTCGTACCCGATTGCAGCATCAGGCTAGTTCATGCAGCTTGCTAAAAATGCCAAGCGTATTCCAATCCATGTGGTTACTCGATCTCATACGCGCGCACTCTCATGTTTGAACAGATAGATGTGTTCTCGGGTGTACGAACGCACCACCCTTGTCGAATGACATTTGAGCTTATGCGTCTACCAAGTGCGCGCACGCGCGTCATGTGACAGGTAGACCATCGCAAGCACAAATCGACGATTGGGTATCGATATATGCGCATTCGTGCGGCAGGGTGACAATAGCTCCGTGGGTTCTGTCATGTAGTCATGATTGCACTTACCTGCGTACGATATGTTGAAGGGCCTCTATCTTGTGCGCACTGGTTTCGTACTCGTCTGTTTTCTCTTCTCTCGCTCACTCTCTCATTCTACCCCACAAATTTGATATGAGACCAGATGTCGGTGCGTCAAATCCCCCTCCCATGATTCTCTGGCTGTTCGTCGTGCTCTGATTTGTTCAGTGCCAACTGTCCCAGAGTATATCGCTTGTGCGTTCTCTCTCATAGTCTACCCTCACGGATGCAAATATATGCACACGTACACTCACATGATTCAAGAGCTTAGCCACCCTGTCTGCCCGCCAACCTTGCCATCAAACACACACACACACACATGGGACCATTACAGCGCCACCGCATGCCTCAGCTTGTGCGCTGGTGCATGTGCTTGAGAAGGTGCGTAAATGTGTCTGCATGACTGTGTATGCGTGAATGTGACCACGGGTACGAGGGTGCGCACAGCAGACACTGACGCGACGTGACACATGGCAATGTTGTGCGTGCACCACTCACCGTGCGCGCGCGCGCACGTGCGTACGTGTGTGTTCATGCTTCCGTGTGTGTGAATGATTATCCTGTAGTCACACATACACACAAACACATGGGACAACGAAAGCGCCCGTGAACGTTTCGCATTCACTCGTCTGCCCGTTTCACTCTCAGTTACATGTGTTTACACTAAGCGTGCACACACGCGCATATATTCCGTCACTGCAGTTGTCTTGTTTGATCATGTTGTCATGCTTGATCAACACAATTGCTTATTCGCATCTTGATCGTTCGCAGTACATTCAACCTACTTACCCGGCCTCATACTGACACCAATCCCCCATTAAATTGTTGGCAGCTTGATTACGACAGAGAAAGAGAGCAAACAATTTGTCGTTCCCGTTTGGAAAAAAATTCCCATTCACGATGGGCCTGTTACCACATTTGAATGTTATGGATGTTATGATCCTGCACTGTCCCCTGTGTGCTTTTCACACACATTGGTTGACTCATTTGGAAACCCATTTCACTAGGCAGCATCCGTCACAAACAGTGGATTTTATGCTTTACCAGTGCTCCAAATGTCATAAAATCTCTTCGTCGAAAACGTTTCTGGCGGAACACTTGGACTTGTACCATCATCCGTCCCACTCGCACCCCTGCCAATCCCATCCCCGACTTCATCCCCATCAGCCTCCTCATGCTCATCGCCGTCGTAAACGATCGTCATCGAACAACGCGGGAGATAGCGGTTCAGAAGCTGTTTCACCCATACTAGAAAATGGTCATACCGGGTCACGTGATTCGGAGCCGTCGGATGAAGACGACGAGCTGGAAGTGAACGAGGTGATATCTGGTGAGAAAACCGACAGCCCCACTCACCGAAGTCCTAAAAGCGAACGACACATGGTTGCGATCCCGGATTCCGATGATTCCACCGAGTTGGGTCGTAAACATGGGCGTGTTACCAAAGCCGCAGAGGTGACAACCGCGGCTTATGCGAAAACGTTGTTTGTCGGTCAATTGTGTGGTCAGTCATCGGCCGCAGACCAGACTGATTCAGTCACATCGAACAACGGACCGAATGTGACTTTGGGTATACAACATCAGTGTTTGTTCTGTGCTTACACAACACCAAATACTGGATCGTTATCGGAGCATTATGCCCGACACGGGATCCGTCAACTACAATT